ATGGCTCTCATGCGTCTCACCTTTGTCAAAGATTAGAGTCAGTGGCCAGAGATCTCTTGGGAGTATTTCTGGAGTGTGCACTGGTGTGCGCTGAGAACGCCTGCTTCTCATCTCCAGCAAGAGCACCTGGTGCCAAAGACTCTGCGGGTCACTCTGTCCTCTGCCTGAGTCCAGTGGGTGAGGGGCTGAATGTGTTAGAGGCTAAAGATCTTTCCTGAGCTCACATCAACTTTTGCTGTGATAGCTGATTGGGGAAAATTACGTGCGTTTCATTTGGAGCAGAAGTGAGAGCAGGGAAAGCTGGCATGGGGATGCTGGGGACCCTTTCCAAGGAAGCACCCTGGAGGGAGCACACCGGAGGGAGCACTCCGGAGGGAGCGCCCCCGAGGGAACACCTTGGAGGGAGCATTCTGGAGCTCAGCACAGAGAGCCTACAGGTATTGGAAACTTCCTAGGGGCTACAGGAGAACTAAGCAAGTAACCCAAATAGAGACGCTCAGAACTGCACTGAGACTCCCACAGGTGAGTCTGCAAATGTACAGGTGAGTCCCAAGTCTACAAAAGTACCCCTGGGATTTTAATACCTTCCCTAACATTGCACGTGCACGGCATGGTAAGAACATCCCGCTCCCTGGCCTCTTCCTTCCCAAAGCCCCGACACTTCCCGAGAAGAAAAGGAGAAAGAAGGTGGAATCAGCAAAGGGGCAGCCCTGCCCGCCTCTCTCCTCTCCAGCCGTTCTCCAGCCTTCCGTGCGCAGTCGGCCACAGCAGGGAAGGAGGGGAGAGCTTTCTCTGAATGAAGACTGAAATGCCAGGGATCACGTGGGCCGGGAGTTTTACTGGGTTTATGTTTGCCAGCTGCAGTGCCTGGAGCACTGAGGAGAGAAATCATAGGTCAGTCCAAGTTTTCCTCGGAGAGGAGGGAGTCAAAGCCAGAGGCCATTTCACGCCGCAGAGGGAGGTCAGAGCTGTTCTCTGCTGGGTCTCTGGGTTGAAGTCAGGTTGCAGGGGGGCCCGAGGTCGGGGTGGGATGGTGAGAGTGACCGTGGAGATGGCTAGCTGGCCAGTCAGACAGCTCTGCCTCCCTCCACAGCCGCTGGGCCAGAGAAGTCCAACCCCAGCCTTCTCACAGGTAGCCGCGGTCACCTGACGGGCTCATGCCGGAGGAAATGCTGTATCCCCCTAAACAGCAGACGCCCTCTGCACTCACCCCCACACCCCTGCCCTCTGTTGAGACTGTAGCAGCAACCCTGACCCCTGCCAGGTCCTGAGATGGAGGTGCCTGAACCCTGGGCACGAATGACTGGGCCGGCTGACCACCCCCCTCCCAGACTGCCCGTGGGGAAGCAGCCAAGTTCTCCTGTCACTGGGCCGGCCCTTGCTGAGAACAGCTCGCTGCCCGTGAGTTACATCTGCCCGTGTCTTCTGGCACCCCAACCCTCCTGCCTCCCCCACCAGACAGCAGCCCCTCAACTGGCTTGGTTTAGAAAGCTCAGAGAGAAAACACGCTTTGCAGTGAAATGTGGACGCTAGACCTGCTGGTCCACCTCCTGACTGTGCACCCTCAGCCCTCCGGCAGGGCAGGTTAACAGGCCGGTTGGCGGGCAGAGGTCAGCTGTCGTCCCCCCTCCCCCCCAGCTGCCTGGCCTCCCGCTTCCCATCAGCCCCCACCACGCTGTGACGCAGACTGACGTTTTTCTTTTGAGTAAGTGACAGCTTCAGAGAGGCGGAACAGAGCAAGCACTCAGAGCGCACCAGGCAGAGTTCTCTGAAATCAGATTCCCGACGCTCCTGCCAACGTGGGGGATTAAGCTGGTCTCTGCTCTGTTCTGAATGGCCTTGCCTGGAGGGGAATTTTCCTACACTCTTAACCCCCTTCCATGTCCCTCCGGAGGCCTCCTCTGCCTCAGCCTTCTGTGCCTTAAGCCCACGGGCGAGCCTGGGGTGGGGGCTGGAGAGCCTGGGGTGGGGGCTGGTGCTCGAGTGCTCTGCTCAGCAGGACAGGACCTCCCGGGCTGTGCCTTAGGGATATCAGCTCCTCGGGGAGCAGGTCAGGGCACCCGGCTGCCTGTGAGCTGTCCTCTCTGCCTCCCGTTTGCAGGAAAAGAAACCGAGGCCTGGCTGCGGACGCGGCTTATTTGCAGCATCCCCTCCGAAGGAGAGGCCCCCCTCGTTAGCCCGCCTTGGGGCACTGCTCTGAGCAGCCCTCACCCCCACGGTTACCAAACCCAGGACCAGCACTACAGCAAAGTGGCTTGTCCCTCACACTGCCCTTGTGGGGCTGCGGTGCGCAGGGCCGAGAGAAGCTAGCTCCCAGCAGGCAGGGGGACAGGCCCCAGGCTCGCCCGGCTGTCTGCAAGCTGCGGTGCCTGCTTTGTGTGGGACCTTACCGGCCTCCGCCGCTGCCTCGTGAGCTCCTGGCAGGCGGGTCCATGCCGGCTCCTCTTGGAAACCCTCCCTGCCGCAGGCCAGGGCCGCCAGGCTGGGCCAAAGGCACAGGCCCGACTCCGTCTGCAGCCCACGCCCTTCCCCGACGCACAGGGGCCAAGGCAGCCTCTGGTTTCGAGTCCCCGGTCTGTCCCGCCTCAGGTGGGCCATCTGGGACAAGATACGGAATGGGGTGAGCTGGCGGAGCTTGGCTTCCTGTCTCGGGGATTAGTCCCTTTGTATTTTTATACATAACCTTGAAGGCCCAGGCAGCCCTGATCTGCGGAGGCGAACACCAGCCTGGGTTGGGGGATGAGGCGATACAGAAAGCACGTAAGGTCATGGACACGACTTAGAAACAACCCACTTTAATTGGTAGTATACAGAGCTCCGGGGCAAGGGGGCTTGACCAGGTGAGCCCAGGCCTCGCACCTGTCCTGGCCCAGGTGCTGGTCTGCTTGGAGGGTTCGGGCTGCAGCAGGGTGGGGTGGGGGCACAGAAGCGGGATCAGAGCAGCGTCTCTGAGCGGCAGGCACCGGGCGTGGGGTCTGCAGAGCACGTGTGTATCCGTGTTCACATGTGCATACATGTGTGACCTGGGCGCCATGTGAACAGAATCTCCAGGAGCCTCCAAGACGATGGCAGGAGAGGGTGGGAAGAGGACGCCTCAGTGCCGAAGGTCCCGGGGCTGGGGAAGCGTCGGAGCAGAGGCAGGCCATGGCCCGAAAGCCCAGCCCCAGCCCTGCTCTGCCACTCACAGACTTGCTGTGTGACCTGAGGCAAGTTACTTACCCTCTCTGGGTAAAAGTTTCACTAAACAATCGCTGAGGTTGCTTATGGCCCTAAACTTCGATATTTTTAAAGAGATTAAATTATAAAAACGCTTTTGTTAAGAGTGAATGACAAGGCCTTTGGTCTATAGGTTCAAATCCCACCGAGCCTGGCACCCAGCCCACCGGGTCCCAGGCACGAGGGACACCCCCATGGGGAGCTTTTCTCCCCCACCTCTCCCGGGCTCAGCACTGGCTCCCAGCTGTTCCTGCCACCTCCCATCAGCTCCGTGAGCAGAGGGCGGTGGGGCGGCAGGGGCAGGCCGAGGGCGGGGGTCAGGACAGCAGCCCGAGCTGGGGCGGGCCCAGCCTTGGGGCGTAAAGTGCATGCTCACCCTCTGTGTGTCCTAGCGCACAGTGGGCACCCGGCAGGTACCAGCACAGTGGAGGACAGCGGGGTCCGGGGGAGCTCCGCCCTGAACTAACTGGGGCGGGCGGGGCCAGGGCTGGGGGGTCGCCTTCCCCTTGGTCTCCTCTGCCCCCCGGCGGGCAGTGTCCAGCCGCGTCTGAGAGCAGGAAGACGGTGACCCCAGCAGGGACGGCGGATCTGACAGGGGCGGGGGCCCGGCTGGAGAGGGGTCACGAGGCTCTTACAGTACGACGATCTCCATTTCTACAGCTACACACGACGGGGAAACAGCAGAAACGACAAAGCATAAGCTGCACACGAGAGGAGCCGGGCGGAGGCCGGGAAGCAGGGGGCGTGGGCCACGGGGACGTGGTCGGGGGGGGTGGTCGTGGCCCCTTCCAACACAGCCCCCCTGGCTCCCCGGGACAGCGGGAGGCCCCTGGGGGCGGCGGTAGAAACAGCTGAACCGGGAGCAAGCATTTGAGGACGGGGAAGGACCGCGACCTCCCAGCTCCCACCTAACCCAGGCTGGGCGCCACGCCAGGCCGCAGGGCTCCGGCCCCTCTGCGCGGACAGCCTGGCTTCGGCCTGTCACTGTCCCGGGAGGCTCCGTCGGCTGCAGGGGTCCTGGCGCCCCCCCCCCCCCCCAGGAGTCAGCGTTTCTCGCAGCTACAGCTAGGAAGGGACCCTGTCCCTCCTCAGGCCAGATGTCTCCCAACCTCGCCTCCGGCCCTGCGGAGAGCTCCCCCCACCCCAGGAGGAGCTGAAACCTGGAGGAGCCGCAGTGGTGGGGGCGGAATGAGGGGAGGCTGGCAGGAGGGCGGGCGGCGGTCTGGGCAGAGGCTGGGGTCCAGCAGTCTGGCGCCACAGGTCTTGGAACAAGACGCCGTTGGGGTGTGTCGGGGGGCGCGAGCAGCGGGCCCAGCCCCCCCGGTAAGGCACTGCCCACGCCCCACCCCTGCGCCCCTCCCGCTCACTGGATGGTGCATTTGTCCCGCTCGCGGGCCTGGCCCTCCCGGAGGACCTTGGCCTTGATGTACTTGAGGTCACTGTTGACACTGGGGCGGCGGGCGAAGGGCGACACCATGCCGTAGGCATCGGCGTCCTTGACACGGCGCATGCAGAAGGGCCGGGGGTGGAAGGCGTCGCCGTACTGCACGGAGATCTTGCGGTGCAGCGCGGGGCTCATCTCGTGCGGCAGCTTGGCCATGCTGAACAGCACGTAGAACATCTCGTCCACGTTGGTGTTCTTCTTGGCCGACACCTCGAAGTAGGCGCAGTTCTCGTCCCCCGACACCAGCAGCTCGGCCTCGGTGGTGGCCACCTGCCGGCACAGCTCGCCGTGGTCATTCTTGTTGCCGCAGATGACCATGGGCAGCTCCGCCGCCTCCTTGGTCTTGTTCTTCAGACAGGACTTGACCTCCAGGATCTGCTTCTGCAGGCGCTTGACCTCGTCGAAGGATTCCCGGTTGTCCAGGCTGAACACCAGGATGAAGACGTCGCCTGCGGGGAGAGAGGGCCGGGTGGGGAGTCTGCGGGCTGCTCTGAGCTGCCCCCCGAGCTGACAGTAGGGTGCAGCGAGCCCTCCCTGAGGTCCAAGGCCCGCAGGCCCGCAGCGGCTCTGTGGAGGGGTGGCTAGTGCTCCCCCCATTCTGAAGCAGGAGGCCGAGGCCAGGGGGTTCAGGGATGGGGCCACCGGCCCACATGGGGTGGAGCCCAGTTCCAGGATAATTAATTCACCCCTCGTTTCCCTGCAGCGCTAGAGACTGGCTTGCCAACGAGTGCCTACTGCAGTGGAATAACAATATGCACAGTGTCCATGACCTGTGTCCTCCGCACACGTCCCCCTGGATGCACGGCAGTGGCCCAGCCGCTGGCGGTGTGGGGGGCAGGGGAGGCCTCGGCCCTCGGCGGGGGCCTCCTCCATTACTCACCACGCAGCTGGGGCGGTGCACTTTCTCCCTCCGTCCCCTGCAGGTGAAGTGCTGCCTGGGGGGGTGACTTGGAGCGGGGCAGGGGACCACGGACAGTGGCCCCAGCTCAGTGGCCTCTGAGGTCACGTGGCCATGTGGACACATCCTGGTGCAGCCCACGGGGCCAGGTGCTCCAGGCCCATTTCTCTCCAGTGACGCTTCGCAAAACCTCTGTGAGGAACCTCCCCTGCCTTCGCGCTACAGGTGAGCAGCCGCGTCTCAGCACAGGCAAGCCAGCGCCGGGATCGTGTGGCCCAGGGCTGTCCCCAGCCGGCCAGCGCCCGGCACCCGGCAGGTCCCGAGCAGATCAGGGGTGGGGAGTATAGACAGGCTTCCGAGGCCCGCCTGTGTCTCTCCAACCTGCTGCACCTGTTGAGACAGGTGCTGAATCTGACCTGAGCTGGGCCACGTGGAGGGGGTGGGCGGCAGGGCAGGTGGGAGAGGGCCAGAGCCTCCACCCCAAGGACAGGTCCGAATTCCTCCATCACACTCTGGTTGAAAGCACTTTCCTGACTTTGGCTTAAGCCCTTAAGAGCCTGCGGTGAGCTATAGGGACCCCTCTTTCAGAGACGAGAAATCGGAGCCCAGAGGCGTCTGGAGAGGAGACTCAGAGCTTGTTTGTGCTGCCTCTGCCCCTGGGCCCCCAAGAACATCCCCCATTCATCACCCAGCTCCGGCACAGGTGTGCTCTGAGCCGGGAGCTCTGGGCCGAGGGCGGCCTGCCCGGGGCCTCGTCTCCCAGACCCCAGCACACAGCTGTCCGCAGGCTGGCGGGCTTGGGTGCAGGGAGGGGCTGACGCGGGAGCTGGCCAGGCTGGTTACTGCTTCAACGCAGGCTGCCGGGACCCTGTCCTGCTGGGTAAATCCTGGGCCTCCAGTGACCCAGTGGTCCTGACGTTTTCAAACGCAAGACTGCGGATGCCGCGCTCCGGGGAGGGCGCTGGCAGCTGGAAGGAGCGTGCTGGCGGCGGAGTTAACGGCTTTCAGAATTTCCTGCATGCCAGCGCCAGGCTGGAGGATGAGGCATGGGTGGGTGCGTGAGAAAAGCCAGCAGGCAGATGTGCTCAGAATGATAGGCGACTCGGGCAGAGACAGACAAAAGCCCCCTCTGTGACGAGCGCACAAGTCAGGCATCGGCGTGTCTGGGGCGGGCGAGGCTTGTCTCGTCAGCTTTTGGGGTGGCCCCTGCCGGGAAGGGGCAAGAGCCTGGCATTGGGGGCGGGGGTGCAGCGGGCATCTTGGCCTTACCTATGTGCTTGAAGGAGGGTGTGTCTGTGTGTGATTTGTGCACTAAAACTGATTTTGGAACACACATGCGGCCCCTTCTCCACCTCCCCGCTGGTCCATCTGATGTTGCCTTATTTGTGGGTCCCCAAGACGGACAGCAGGCATCCGGCAGTGGCCACCTTGGACTGGAGCACCCCGCCCCCGCCCCCAGCACATCCCTGAGGGGCTCCGTGCTCTCCCCTGCCTCAGCACACCCCTGAAGGCAGAATCTGGGCGGCCTGCCGGCTGCAGCAGCAGCACAGGGGGCTCCCAGCTCCACCTCGGACCCCACTATTCACTGAGCACGTATCAGCTGCGCGTCAGACACCTTCCGAATATTAACGCGCTTCATTCCCGCGTTGACCTGCGGGAGGGGAGTTGATGTGACGCCAAGTTAGATGGGAAGACTGAGATGTAGAGAGATAAAGACACAGAGGTACTGAGCCGGGAACAGCAGAACCAGGCACACGCCAGGCCAGGCCAGCTCCAGGGCCCGGGCAGTGGGCAGGCACCAGGTAGTGTGAATGGCTTCAGGCCTGCTGAGTCCCTGCCACCTCTCTTGCCCTCCCCACCGCTCCCAGCAGGGCCGAGAGGCCACAGGAGACTAACAGCAGGCCAGAGTGCTATAGCGCCTGCAGCAACGTGACCTCTGGGCCTTGACCTTTCCCCGCTTGTACAATGGAGGCAAACAGCTGTCTCCTGGGTTCGTTGTAAGGATTAAACAAACCCATGCCTCGCTGGAAGAACGGGCCGGCACATGCCTGCTATTATTTCCAGCCCCTGAGCTCAGGTCCCTCACCTTCCCTCTGGCTGATGGCCACCCCATATCCTGCCCTGACTTCTCTGAGAGGTAGCAAAGGCCGAAGTCAGCAGAACCTGACTGGCCAGAGGCCCCAGGGCGCCGCTGGGTCACCTCCCAGAGGAGGCAGCAACCCCCACACCCCTCTGTGCCCCTCGGGAAGGCGTGCCAGCGGCTGGGAGAAGTCCGCCCAGCCTGGGCACCGTGGAACCTGGGTCCCAGGCGCAGCGTCCACTGGGACCGCCCGGCCGCACCTCTCTGACCTCAGGGCCCAGGCTTCTCATCGAGCTCGCCCGCCCACGTCTGCAGCCTCGGCCCGCCTGGCACCCACCTGTGAGGATGGACAGCCTGCGCATGGCCGGGAAGGGGTGGTTGCCGGACGTGTCGAGGATGTCCAGCTGGTACATGTCGCCGCGGATGTTGTAGACCTTGCGGTGGAAGTCCTCGATGGTGGGCGTGTACTGGTCCTCGAAGCGCCCGTTGAGGAAGCGGGACACGATGGAGCTCTTGCCCACGCGCGAGGCGCCCAGCACCACCATGCGGTAGGAGTTCTTGGCCGGCACGCTGAGCGTGCAGTTGCCGCTGGACAAGGTCTTCATCATGGCTCGGGGCTGGCGGACAGAGGGCGGAAGCAGGCGTCAGGGCCCGGCCCCGCCCTGGCCGGGGGCCTCTGTCCAGGTCCCGGCTTCTGCCCGCAGACTGGCACCAGGGACTCTCTAGGGCCTGGACTTCTGCCCACTCAGTCCCCAGCACCCCCTTGGTCTCTCCTCCGTGCACCTGCTCACCTCACCTTCCTCCTCCCGTGCCCCAGATCAGGGCTGCAGGGTAGGGGTATCCCTGTGCCGCTTGCTCATGACTGCTCCTGGCCTGACTCCTGGGGGTCATTTCTCTCCTCTACGCCTCGGCTCAAGGCTCGCGATGTTGTCCAGGGCAAGCGAGACCTCAGCATCTGGCTCAGAACTGAGCTCTCCCCAGTCCACCCCCTGCCTCCCCAGGAGCCTGGCTCTGACTTCTAGCTTTCTCCTTTAATGATAAATTGTACTTCGCTAGATTTAAATTTTAAGTTGCTATTTTTTTTTAAGGATTTATTTATGTATACAGTACTGGGGTACAGGCCAGGGGTGGGGGGTGAGAGGATTCAGCAGAGACAGAGTGGGGAGCAGAACAGGCAGATCCACTGAAATACGCTGCTGAGGGGAGCGCGTGGCAAGACAGGAGAGGTCAGCTGCGCCCTGTGGGTCACTCCCTGGCCCGGGATCAGACTCGTACAGCGGTGGCTGAGACAGCTTCATAGTGCTGCACTTTAACCTGTTGCACCGCCAGGAGGGCTCCTAAAATTTTGGGTTTTAAAGGCACTCAAGAGAAGATGGAAATGTATAGTCAAAGGACTTCAGTTTAAAAAACGAAAATGCAAAGACAAGTCAGAGTGGGAAAAATTCTTTTTTCAGCCACAGTGACTTAGTGAAAAGACTTCCGGTTTGAGGATATAAAGAACTCTTAAAGCTTACAAATAAGATCTCATGAAAATTGGACACAGGTTTGGTGTTTGTTTTCTGACTGACGCGCCACTCCTTTACAGCCTCGTTAGTGCCCTGAGCTTAAAGCCGGCCCTCAGCTCTCCTGAGCAGAGGTGCCCCAGCCCGAGGCCGGCCCGACATCACCACTGTCCACGCCTCTGCAGCGATGCTGGGACGAGCGGTCCCTGCCCACCTCTGGACCCTGCCCCACAAGGGCACTCAGCACCCACGCCTGCTCGCCCTGCCCAGAGCTGCTGGGCAGTCCCGAAACGCCTTCTGGAAAAGCCCTGATGGGCAGCATGTGTCCACCCACACGGCCAGGCCCCAGAACTCGATGACCTCAGTGGATGAACTGCCCGGGGCACATGCACAGGCCATGCTGAAGCTGGGCCTGGAGCCACCAGGACAATGACCACCCACCCAGCCCACACCGGTGCCAAGCATTGTGCTGAGTGTAGGGACAGAAGGGCTGGCACCGATTCTGCATCACGCGTGCCAGCGAGCTCTGGGGCAGGGGCCCTCGGCAGGCAGGTGGAGGGACCCCAACTTACAGAGGAGGAAGTTGAGGCAGAGACGTTTAGTAACTGGCCTGTTGCAGGGCCCAGCAAGCAGCCCCACGCTGTGGCCTCTGGCCCCCACCACCCTGCAAGGGGCCTACAAGCGTCCCCATTTCACAAAGACCTGACCCACACAGTTATTAGGGAGCCAGGACCTCGCCCCCTGCCCTGGGCACGCCTGGCGCTGTCTTGGACTTTACCCACAGGACCTCAGTGCCAGCCACACAGCAGGTGCTCAGTAAGTGCTGCAGGGATGAGTGGAGTCTGCTCTCGAGCCTCCTCCCTCCACCCCTCCCCTGCCTGGCTGGCCCAGGGCGGCTGAGGTCTCGGTGCCCTGCGTGTGCCTGTGGGTGGGCAGTGGGGAGTGACGGTAGCAAGACCAGCAGTCGGGTCCCTCCTGGTCTCCTCCAGGGCTGGGCGAAACAGCCTCGGTCTCCAGTGGAGAAAAGCGAGCGGAGGGCTCGCCGTAAGCCCCCTCCCCGAGACCCTCTCAGGTGCTGTGGTGGTGACCTCTGTCAAGACATCGAGGGAAGGGGGCCCAGGGACATCAGCCTCCATCGTTGCCCGTCCCGGTCTCTAGCCGAGAGTTCCTGGCACAGATGTGCCAAGGGCCCCAAGGAAGTCAGAGAGAGGAGGGAAGGAGCCAGGGGCCAGGAAGGGGTGACATGGTCTCCTGTCGGGAGACATCTGTCTTCACATGGCTCCAGCCACGTGGGGCTGTGTGTGGTGCAGACACCTAGACGCCAGGTGACAGCGGCTCCCTGGGCTCCGCCTCCCGCCCCCTCGCCTTCCCTCCCGTCTGCCCCCAGAGGCCCCGTGCGCAGCGCTGGGCAGGCAGGTGCTCTCCACTGCTGCTGCTCGCCTCTCCACCCTCAGCCAGACTGAGCACATGCTGGAGACCCAGGAGGGGCCCCCGGGCAGCAAAGGGCCCTTCGATTCTGGTCCTGTGACTCTTGGCTGCCCCCACCCCGGGGAGGTGGACAACCCCAAAGCAGAGGTGAGGCCCCTCCTGGGGCAGCAGGAGCCACCGAGGCAGGGCAGGCTGCGCGGCCTGCCCCCTGCCAATGGCTTCACCGAGGGAAGGGCCACCACGGACCAGGGGCTGACGGGGACACTGAGGCTCGAGAAGTGGAGTCCCCAGCCCCGGCTGCTGCCCATGGCTGGCCAGCTCAGGCTCAAGGCACATGCCCAAAGCCTGAGCTCTACCTTGATAAAAGCCCGCCTGGGGCCAGAATCAGCCTTTTCTTTCTTCTTCTTTTTTTTTTTTTTCAAAACAGTGTCTGACTCAGTGAGGCCTCAGCAGCAGAGGCGGGAATGAAATGACCCCTGAGGCCTATTATCCTCACTCCCTCTCCACCCTCCAGGCAGCTGGGGGTGGAAACCCCAAAGCCAGGCCAGCTCCCAGCAAATGTGTCTGCAGGTTCACCTGCCCCCCCCATCCCCCAGCCCCTCCCTGGGGCTTGCCTGGAAGACAGAGGGTCAGCCGGGCAGGACAGCAGGACAGGAGTTGGGCCTCCCACCTCCATGGGAGAGCGCTGGACCCTGCCCACTGCGCCTGGCACCCCCTGCCCCATGCCCACACAGTGCATCAGTGCACACCGCAGCCTCTCTGGACACCCATATTCAGGGCCCCAATCCCCACGGAGGGACCCTGGGGGCTTTGGGAAGCCAACCTCACCCTCCTGGCATGTCAGGTGGGAACAAGCAGGCAGGCACCAGCCTTGGGCAGGGCAGCGCTGCCCTGGTGCCTGGGGCTGGCGGGGGGGAGGGGTGTGGGGGGGGTGCTGGTCCCTATCTATGAGCAGAAACAAGCCCAAAGTGGCCCCGAAGGCCTGGTGCGAAGTCCGGAGGCTTCTGCCCCGCATCCAGCGGGCCCCTTTCTCTGTGGCACGTCCTCTTGCCTGCCAAGGGGCCAGGTGGGGCAGGGCTGGAGTGTAGGCAGAGGTCTTGGGGGCCGTAAGATGCCAGGGGAGCAGCCTGAATCCTGGGGACCCGTCCCAGCCTGGCCTACCTCCCCTGGGGCCCTGGACAACATCCTTCATTATTCTCCCAGGGATGGGGCGAAGGCAAGAGAGGTCAAAGAGGGCCCCTGAGAGAGAGCTGGGGACCCTCTGGACAAGTGAGGGCATAACACCTTCCTGAGAGGGGAGACACCCTGGAAACACCAACCCAGAAAGCAGCTCTAGGAATTCTGGAAGAGGAACGGGCTCCTCCATGTGGTCCCTGATCAGCGGAAGTCCTCACCAGGCTGGGGGGGTGTTGGGGGGGAGTTCGCCAACAGGTCCCATCCCAGCCCCACCCCCACTCAGGTGCACAGGCCGCAGCTGGCTCAGGAGAGGGCTGGAGGGTTTGGGGGCAGGTAAGCAGCTGTCCTTCCCGGCCTCAGTTTCTTAACACTGAAATGGGTTTTGACCAGATTTGGACCGCCGAGCTCCCAGGGCGCTGTTAGAAGCGCTTTGCTGGGTCTTTCCTTCCTGGGGTACCCAAGCGCTGGTGCCAGCCTGACAGCGCCGAGGCAGGTTTACGTTTACCTAGCCATGTCGCGCTTCCCCAAGCCTCCACCCGGTCTTCCCGCCTTCCCCCACTTCACCAAGGTCCCCAGTTCTGTTGGGGAGTCTCCTACCTGTGAATGACGCGCGAGCCCTCTGGAGCGACTCGGAGGACTGCCTGGAAGCGCGGGGAGGTGCGGGGACCCGCTTGCCTCTCCGGCCGAAGCCGCCGAGCCTTCCAGAGTCTGCGGCGGATCCTGGGTCACTGCGCCGGCCTTCTCCTCTGCGCGGCTCGGGGCGCCTGGCTGGGCGCGGCCAGGCGAGGGAGAACGGGAAGCCGGTGCCCCATGGGTGGGTTCTGACGGCTCGGTGGGGCCTGGGCGCCGGGCGGGCTCCGGCTCACCGCCGCCGGCCCTGCCCTGCCCCGACCCGGGGGACTCCTGCTGAGCCAGGTGCCCGAAGCGCGGGGACGTCGGATCCCGGGGCCCTGCCTCGGGCTCCGGAGGTGGGGAGAGGGCGTAGGGGCGACTCGGGGGCTTAAAGAAGGTCCTTGAAGACTCCCGGAGAGTCTTTGGAGGTGACTGTGTGTGCGTGTCCCGGGAGGACGAACCCACCCTGGCCACCTATGCTACCTTATCAGCCCTCCCCAAAGGGGTGCTGGGTGGACGTGGGGGCTTCCCGGCTCGGCGGAGGCCTCCTCCGTTACCGGTGCTCTGCAGCGCTCCCGGAACCCGAGGGAAGGCCCCTTCTCCCCGCGAAGCGACGCCAGCAGCTGAAGGAAGCGCAGGGCGCTCTGCTCCGCGCGCGTGTGGGAGGGGGCCTTGAACGCCGCCCCTAGGCTTCGCAGCTCCGATTTAGGATTGAAGAGGTTCCTCCTCCCACTTCACCTCTTCCGACCCCAGATGAGGCGAACTTTCTGGGGGGCGCTAGCTCCTCCCTTCTCCCCTCTCCCGCAGGCGATCGCCCCCTTCCCCCTGCGCGCGAGGTCAGTGGTCCCTCGGCAGAGCGCGCGGACCCCTGGCCCCCGAAGGCGGTCCCAGCGACGGGAGCCCAGATCATGCCCGGGCGCCCTCTGCGAGCCTCCCTCCGGGACGCATCGCGCGGCGCCCACCCG